AAACATATATGTATGTGTGTATGTGTGTGTGTGTGTGTGTATTTATGATGTGTTGTGTTGTACTACATAAGTATGTATAGGTTTGTGTATGTAGCGAACCGGTACATATATTTCATTAATTACTAAATGTATTAAGACGTAACCTCTGTGCACCTACCTTACAAGATTTCTACACCACCCAAAGGTTGACTGGAAGAGAACGCCCTGGGCATTAAGTCCGGCGATGTACAAAAGTGCATAAAGTTAAATAAATAAAATGCTGGATTTAAAGATCCCACACGTCATAGGTAATCTATTATTATAATAGCACATGTATTTAATTTCTAAACCACAGCTTAGATTTATTGTGGACTATTTTATAAAAGTTTCGAGTTAGAAATTATCTGACTACATATATTGCGAGAGGCATATGACCATCAGTATACTGCGATTGGCTGATGATGATGACATATGGAAAGACTCGTTTAAGGGCTCGTGGCTAAGTGGTTACATAGTAGGTTATATTGAAAAGTTAAGCAATCCTAGCCAGGTCAGTCTATGAATGGGTGGAATGCCAATAGTCTAACTACAGAACTTTGACATCGACTAGTTCTTGGTTTGTGGAAGTCTGTTAATATATTAGCATACTCATTAAGAGTCTCGGTCAAATTTTAGTGAGAAGTATCGCTGCGTTTGTTATGAAATAACGAAAACAAGATGTTGTTTACGCTTACAGGTACCTAAACACACATAACAGAATAACCATAGTATTAATAAAACATGTTTCATGAGTATATTTCAGTTTAGAAATCAAACGAACCTTTGTATGTCCTATTTTATTTGAGGTCAGCTCAATGTATAATATTGCACAGAGTTTTAGCTAGTTAGAAATGTAATGGAATGAAGAAAATGAATAGGGCGAGAGAGCTGAGGCGAGAGATTCCTTAAGTTTTTTTATGGTACAGTGGGGCAAACGAGCAGTCGGGTCACCTGATGGTAAGGGACTATCAGTAAAAGAGACTAAGGGAGTGCGTTCCAGGCCTTTGAGTATCTTTCGCTTTTTGGTAGACGTCTGCTATAGTGTCGGAAAAAAAATCTTGTTACACATTTTTCGGTCTCGTTCCCACCCGCTCAGAGCGTGTTACGCGCGATAAGGAACTTCGTTCCAACAAGAATTACTCAGTGAGCAGCAACGAAAAAATTGCTTAACACTGGTATTCTGTGAGGCCGTAGTATTACTCCGGTAGAGCCGGTTGATTTGTGCCGAAATAAGACTCTCCCAGGATGCAAGCTCATCCGGGTGAGAAAACAGGACTTAAATTACAGTAGTTCCAAGAGGACATCAACTAGCCAACTACACAATTCCCACTTACAAATCGATTCATTCAATTTAATATGTGGTGAAATTGTCTTCTTACGAAACAGTACGCATTTATCCTAAAACGTCGCTCATGACCTGCACTCTCATTTTCTCAACGTTTTGTATAATAAGATATCTTTAAAAATTAGGATTGCCTTTTATCAAACTGTCCATTTTAAATTTCATTTTATTTGAGTCAGATTTTAGAGAAACTTTTTTTTACACTAAACCTTTAACAGTGTAGGTAGAGGTTAGTACGAGATCGTGTTTATTGCATTCGAACTGCTCCAGAGCCCGTCCACTTATTATGTTTTCTGCTATAAAATTGTGAAGAGTATTGGCGTTACGGGTCCACCGTCTCCGAAGTATCTGCGAAATACGTCGTATTTTTTCCACTGTAACTATTGCTGTACCTATAAATCAAAACTAATAAAAAAGAGGAAAGAGTTGCCTCTCTTCTTTACCGTAGTTATGGCTTATTTATTTTCTTTGTAGACGGTGATAATTGGTTGGGGCGACAGAGAATGAAATACTGCTTAATATTTTTTAAAGTTAGTAGCAGAAGTATCAGTAGTTTAAAACATAGTATGATCCCTCAATACACTACTACTACTACTAAACTACTAGTACTAAACTTCACAAAAATTTAGATGTAGCTCCTGGCATTATAAAATAACAAATTATAAGTAATTTACTGCCGAACTGTTAGACACAGATTCAGCTTTTTAAACCTTCATTGATCTTTGTAGCCCGCATCGGCTATCCTTCAAAGATACAATGTAGGTCACCGCAACTAAATTTACTGACGATGTCAATGGGTGAACCATCCCTTTGAGCGTTCTCAAAGGCTTGTTGTACACGTACCTTGATATTTTATTACTCACGTAAATATAAGGTCATGAAAAACATAACGCAGAGTGCGGCCTTATTTGTTTATTTAAATCAATGTATCACAAAAATTTTCTCACACAAAGGTTTTAATATTTCATCTACTATTTGTCATTCCGTGTATCCAATATTACATTGTTATGTCTGCGCTTGCGAAATTTAATAGATATATGCATATAGTAAAATATCTCAGAAATCAAATTACACAATGTACTATATTTTTACTACTAATAATATTGTTAAAAATTGACAATGGGTTAGAATAGTTTTTTAAAATATTTTGGTTTATTAAACCTTAGCTTGTCTTCAACGTGAGTGTAAGTATCATATGCTACAAAATGCACAATATATAGCAGTATCACCAATTTGACCGACCTTCATAACACATCTGATACACTAGTACAGTGTCAATACTTACCTTAGTAGTAACTTTGGACATTGCATTTAATTTGGTACTATTACAAGTATATATATATATATATATATTTATATACTAGTAGTTCAAAAAAAAAAATATTTTGTCATGGGTCAGCGGTCAGGTCACGGTTATTATTAGAGATATAATATATATAATAAAGAATAAATTGTCGAGGATACGTACATACCTAGGCTTTCTTAGAATTTTCTCTATGGAACCATAAAATCTGCAAACCCGTAAGCCATCGAAATGGAATCTGCTTTCTGTACCTAACCAATCACATTCTAGTTAAAACCCGTGTTCATCAGTGGCGCATCTTATAGACAAGGCTAATATCCTTTTTAATAACATGGCAAGGTCTTGAGGCATTTAAATTAAAAAGTGATAATTAATTAAAGTAATAGACATTACGCACGTCTCCGTGAGTTTGAAAGTAGTTATATTTCAAATCCTTGCTTAAAATATTCAAATTCAGTCAAGAGATTTATACTTTACCATCGTAAAGTCTCACTAATTTAAGTTTAACATCATGATATTTCTTACATCATGATATTTCTTCATACAGTATTTGCAGCCAAAGAAAATTTTACAAACTTCTTCAAAACATTATTTTGCAGCCATTTTGATGTTTTACATTTTTTTTAGTTGTGTTGTACATAGCTTTAATGTTTTAATATAGGCAAACATACAAATATTATCTCTCTTCTTTTATTCTTTCTGTATTAGACGTATAAAAAAAAGTCGGAAAAAGTCTCGCTAACAAAAAACTGTGTTACTCATAGTCGGCCACCTCGCTGTACGTATAGGCCGGTACGCTCAGTTAGACATTAGTCGGCCATTACGCTGGCAAACATCAAGACAGTGAGACGCATTACGCGGCGAAAACATATAAATATAAAACATATTTTGGGTAATGAAATGCTGAAAAACCGTACTAACCGAAAGAAAACTAATCCAGGAATCACGTTTCATAGGTAAATGAATAATTCAATCACTTATTTCTCGATTTTATACATTAAAATTAATCAGCATTCGCTAGAACAAAAGAATTCATTATAAGCCCAGTGTTGCCAATTTTCACGTGTGCAAATTACCCAAAACAAAGGAATGGTTTGTTATTAAAATCAATTTATTAAGGTTATTTATTTAATAGTTAGTTTTACTAGGTATATTATTTCATATTTTTTTACTAAATTTTCTAAGGAAAATGGAGTATGGAGAAATGATTGAATTTAAATAATTAGAAATTGTAATGGTGAAAATAAAGACAACACAAATATATTCTCACAAAAATTCTAGAAAAGTTTGTTGGCAATGAAAGCCTTTTTTAAACATAGAATCTGAACATACTTTCATCGGCATAGAACACAAAATCAGTCTTATTAAATATGTAGCGGAAAAATATTTAACGATTCGGTTTAATTACATCTCCAAATTAGAGAAACTTTCAAGAACCTCTCAAAGTAAAAGACATTATAAAAAAAATATCGAACAAATAAAATATTTTTATTTATTGACTATGTTCTTAGGCTATAAGTTTAGGTAACTTGGCATTCCCAAAATTCATTTACACACAAAGACCTGCTTTATGCACCGCCGTTGCGGTGTCTCAGTTTTGTCATAGCGTCCGACTTTTTTTTATACGTCCAGGGTATAAGATTAAAGATTATATTACTAAGTATTCTATTAAACTGTGATTTAATGTTTTGTTCACTTATTTAAAAAAATTGTGACACATTATAAAACACTATTAAATAGTGTTTTATAATCTTATTTTGAATCAATAAATCGTTACTTAGCTATTCCATAATACGCACACCGTGTCCCAGATATGTCGCTCGGGACTGTGGTCCGATGCAACTGCCGAACGGAAATCGCCTAGCGACAACATTGTTGTGCGGTCTTTCTTGTTCGACTTTGGATACGAAGCATCTAAATAGGTATAAGCCGAATTTACATGATGCAAGTCATGCAATTTAAAATATTCTCTATTTACATAAATGTATGTAATTAATGTACTGCTAGGTTTATTACCACCAAGATTACACGATTACAGGAAAGTACACAGTTGTATAACTCAGGAGAATGATAAAAGTGAGGGAGAAAATATTCTAGTAGAAAAGCCCCAGATTGGCAAGTGCAATATCGAGCTATGTTCAATAGAGATATATTCAATCTAATCTAGAAAAGTCACAACTTTGTGAACTAATATTCACATGAGTGGTTGCTTTCAGTTACAGTATGTACGAGATTAAGTATCGATAACAATTTCTATGTCAAAGCTATTTGTGTTATTGCAGATACAAATATAAATATGTGATGATTTGAAATGTATTTGTTTTGCATTGTTCGCAGGCGATGAACGTTTGACCGCGCGATGGAGCAACAAGATGGATGGAGTAGTGGAAAGCCAGTTGCAATTGAGAACTCGACTGAAAGTTCCCGGGCTGCAGAACGCGACCGGGTCCGGATCGAGTTCTATGCTACTTATGACGTCATGACGGGCGTACGCATAGCTGCCACTCTTGGCGGCTTTTTCGCGTTAATGGTTTTTCTGATTGTTTATAAAAGCCGTAGCAAATCAGTAAAGGCTTTAAATGATCCTAAACTAGTAGAAATGGCCGAAGCCGTTGTTGCTGAAGAACAGGCAGTTGAAGAGGAACGGCAACTAACTGCCGCCCTAGAGGAAGCTCTGTCGGAGCGTGCTCGTTCGCGTCCCTCTTTCAGTGAAGAACCTCATTGGCCCCGAACTGCTAGATTTGCATCGTACGGTGGTGGCTACGGTAGTTTATTAACGCCGCCACGTCGCTTATCAACAGTGCGCGGTGATTCTCTTCCTGGATCTGCCTTTCGTTTTGCCGATCGACGGTCATCTGCAGGCCCTCGGGACCGAAGGTTAAGCTCAGCGACTTGTTCCAGCTCGGGCAGTTCTTACTTAGAGAGACGTGGTTCATCGGTGGTATGTGCGTTGCAAGAGAGGCGTTTATCACCTTGTCCCAGTGAACGACTTGCCCCACTCGCATCTGTGGGTAGTGTAGGTCCATCATACGCTGTAGAGTGTGAGTTAGCATCGGTGGGTCCAGACTCAGTTTTTGCGGAAGACGATGCGGATTCCACCGATGATGAGGTGGAACAGTTTTCGACTGACAGTGGTGGTGGTGAAGCGACCGTGATCGGGGAGTGCACAGAATTGGCAAGCCGTCCTGCGCCACTGCCCTTGCGGTTAGACCGCGCCTCACATTCGCGAGAAACGTTGTTCTAGTCTATGCTGACGATTGTAATCGTTTAGCCAAGTTACATGTTAGTTGCCACATTTAAAATATCGACTTTGTTCATTTCTAGATTATTTATTTATGACATATCATAGGGACTCGACGAATTTGACATATCATTTGGTTTTAATGCCCATTTTAAAATTTAATTCTTATGATATCTAATGAATGCAAAAATATTACATTATCGACTCGTTCATTGCTACAATCGATCGAGACTATTTTCAGCTTTTAATTGCGCTTATTATTTTATTAAAGCTGAACGAAGACGTCGATATTTTAATATGTGACGAAAATTTATATTTGTACATAATAGATTGTTTTTGTTAATAAATAATTGATGTTTCATAATGTTGTTGTTTCCAGACCACGGCAAATTTATAATCTATGTACTAATTAATTATATATTATGTTGCGTATATATAAATAGGTAGCAAATTAGTCCCATTTTGCTGATGCCATTGTTTTGCTAACGGCAGACCAGTACATTAAACAATAACGCAAGTACGCATACCCAATACCGCTGGTATACACCATAGTGTTCGATTCGATGTAAAAGTAATATGTAAAGATTTGCCGAATTAGTCACTTGTAGTTACATTAAATTAATGTAATTATTTAATATAATAGTTTTCGAAGAATTTATAACTTCTGTAAATCGCCACTCTATTTACAAAGTTTTCAACTCTACCGGGCTAACCGTCGACCTCACTGAAAGCGCGGCTTGATGATCAGATCATTGCCAACTCACATGGTGTTGTACAATGTAGATATGTACTCGTTAGGGTAGATAGACGTCAGTGAAGTCAATTGCGAATGTGTATTTGTATTATAATTAGTATTACTACAGTTTTACTTAGAAATCAAGGGCACACAAGACCGATACGTCCTTTGAACAATAAATTTGAAGTTGGAAGCGGCCTAAGATGTTGCTCGTACCAATATCATTTTCCAAGTAAACTGCCACTGTTCTTGTTCAGTAACAAAGTTGCTCGGACACCGGGGTTTTATTGATTCTGCGTGTTTCGATCCCGCTACAGCCACACGCGGGCCCAGTAGATTGATTACGCATAAGTCGTTTTTATTACGATTTAGATTTACGTGTTAGTTTATGTAATGTTCGTTGCTCGAATTAAAAAGAGCTCCCTGTAGTCTGTAAAATGTTGAAATGTATGTAAAAAAATTGTAAATATAAAACACAACTCATTAATTGTTTCATTTTTCATAATTTGCAATGTCGGTTTTTATTGTGCGTAATAATGTAATGACTGTTCACACAAAGGTAAACAGACGAACTAAAATACGTTTTCAATAACATCCTGTCATAAATCTTAGGTGATGATTTTGCATCGACAAAAATATTTAGAATTATAAACTGCGCCAGGCTAAGCAAGAAATTATGTAAAGTTCAGACCTTGCGCCGTCCCAGGTACCAGGAAGTCTGGAGACAGATCTATTTTTAGGTCACCCACTATGGGGTGGAGTAGGGACAGGAACAGAATAGATTCTTACGTAAGTTACTCTTTACGTGTGAGAAAATTTGCCATGTCTTTACATATGAAATGTTTTTTGTGACCGCGAGTTGTAGTCCAGACTCTAGACATAAGCATAATGATTTCATTAAATGTGTATACAGCTAATTATTGTAAAAATTACACAACATGTAAACATACGGCGGCTAGCACGGAAATGAGAGAGAAGTGCTGGGCGTGCGTTCCCATTGAGGGACCATATTTGAATTTTGAACTTTTGAATCGGTCAGCCTTTTGTAAAAGTTCTTCAACAATTGTAAATTTAGCCTCTAGTTTGTAAAAGTAGCCACTCAAAAGTTACAATCGGTCAAAGGTGGTTTCTCAGTCGTGACTGACATGCATCCATATCTCATAACCTAGTTTTAATTTACAATTGCTATTAATGAATACTCTTAGTAAAATATTTGTAAAACTAATTTATTAAAAATCAACCTTTCCCGTTCACTGTATAAAAAGAACTAACTTGCAAAAGGTGATTCTAAATTCCATTGTTTTCTCTACCCAAGGTGAACTTATGGTGATCGGTTGAGGGATTAGGTTTGTTTTAGAACTTTTACTAAAGGGTGACGCATTCAAAAGCTTAAAATTCAAAATTAAATGTGGTTCTTCGATTTGGACCCAAACAAGTGCTGGAGAGAAGAGCGTACAAAGCAAGTCACAATCCAAACAAGTATTTGTATAGCCAAAGTTAAATAGCCAGGTACTACGTAGGTGCTACACTTATTATGGCATAATACCACTGCTTGCTTTTAACCTAATTAAAGAAAAAAAATGAGGTACTCAATTCGGGCGTGTCTTTCTTTTGTTGGTTACCTCAGAAATCCATAATTTATGAACCGATTTGAAACATTCTTTCCGTTTGAGAGAATATTCTCTCTCCAAAGTTCTAGTTTGGTCCCATTCAAATTTGAATAAAAAAACCACCGCTAAGCACACTATACACTATAATAGAGGCTAAGATTCAAAAGTTAAAGAAGGAGAAAAACATTGAAGTTCATGATAGATTTCTAAAGGTCAAATATTTATACTACTCATCAATGTGTAAAGTCCTTAAATTTGATTCACACTTCATACGTCCTCAGTTGTGATTTTAAACAGTTGTGCGCTCCCCCATTTTTTTTCTGTGCGGACCTCCTCGGATACCACCCACCAGTGGGGCAGTTATGTCGGACTCGAACCGACTAAAAACCGCAAGACTTCGCCAGGTAACAGTAACCGGGGAACCAGTTGTACCCTAGAGCCCTGGTAAGTGCGCCCCCCTCTAAATATTTCAATAGGTATACTCCATTTGCTGCCTATACTAACATAATTAACACAGGTATATCACAAGTGGGAGTGATAGTGCAACAGCAGATAACGGATAACTTTGTATTCAGTAAGTATTATCGATTTTCTACTAGATGAAACATGCGCTCCAACCCGCGCTGGTAACGGTAGATAATAGTACAATACATTTGCATTTTACACAATACATGTAAACAAAATATCAAATAAACGTAGGTATTTGTATTATAGGTATTGTATAAATCTGGGTAGTCTTTATATTTTAGTTCTTGTATATGTAGTAGGTAAGTATATTGATTCGTGCCAACCCGTCTGGCCAGCGTGGTATCATCATCATCATCAGCCCATCGCAATCCACTGCTGGGTATAGGCCTCCTATTGCACGCTACTTCGATTGAGTTTCGGCTTTTCAAACTCTTGCCAAACAATCTTACGCCGATATAGTATAGTGTAGTCAATGTGGTACCTATAGTAGGCCAAAACCTCCTTTGTAAGGAGAGGCCTATGACCAGCTGTGGACTATTAAAGGCTGTTGATAATGATAAAATGATATTGATTGTTGTTTTATAGTATAGAGACGCAAGTGACTACCGCCGCCCATGTACCTACACCTACAATGCAAGAATCACAAGTGCGTTGACCCTTGGTTCCTTCACAGAATCTGGGGTTTGGGTTTTTTGAGCTCCGTTTTCCACTCAGTCGGTGAAGAGCAACGAAAGATATGATTGACACCAGTTTTCTGTGAGGCCGTGGTATCCCTTACTCTCACACAATAATATTATCTGGTAATAATAGGTCCGTGTAGTTACGGATATAGAGTGTCACCACTCTTATTTATCCTATGGGTGTTGTAAGAGCCGACTAAGGGAGCAAACTAAACAAAACAACAGCACTGCAAAGAGAACGAAAACTTGAAACAAACCATCCTCCAACCAGGCGAGGTGATCATGCCCGGCGGGCCGCGGCCTAACGGTTGATGTTCGGAAGTTGTATAAATGCTAATCGGCGAGAGAATAGTTAGTATCGCGATACAAGATTAGCAGTTATTCCGTAATTCGGTGTGTGTTCGATAGATGGCGTACAGCACCATCTATCGTTAGCGTATGTTTCTTTGTTTCACAGTATGTGGAAGTCGCCACACAACGATAGCGCCAGAGCTTAACCATTTAAACACACAAAAAGTCTTCAACTTTAGTACCTACATACAAAAACACAATACCTACGTAGGTAGGTACTAAGATAATTTATACAAGTGTTTACTTACCAGCTAGCTGAATTAAGCTGAATATACATCTATCTATTTTACTTAGATATCTTCTCGTTCACAATTCCCCACCTATGAAAATATCAACATCGAATCTGCAGTTAAACGATGTAAACACATATCAAAGAAGAAATAAACAAAACTAAAGTGTTAAAACTCACTTTAATCTGTGTACCCACCTATTATGTCGTTCAAACTGTGGCTATAAAATTTTACGACGAACATTCAGGTAAGACAGAGAGGCACTCCCGCATGTTTGATGTTTCACAACTCGTTAAAAATGTAGAGAAAAAAAAACATTTCTCATGAGAAACGTAACGATGAACCAAAATCGTAGAATTTGCGTAAGATATATTCTACCTATTTTTAGTAGTTAGCTTAATAATACTAAAAACCCTCATAGGCCTGAGGATTACTTCAGGCTTCTAAGAACTTCTAGTGAGTGATTAATTAGAATCACCAATCAAATGTAACAAAATAAAATTAACAAATATCAATGTTTATAAAAAATTTAAGAGAATATATATTTTCTTTCTTTCTTAAATAAGGTACTAAAATACTGCAATCTTATTCATAAAATTATTACATACACATTTAGTTTAATATAATTTATTTAAAAGGTTTGATCATTCTCATTCGGTAATTTCGAAATAAAATATTTAATTGTAAGGGGTAGCATATTTGGTAACTGTTGACATAAGCAAGTTTCCTTCGATTCCTCTTAGCTGTAGTAAACTCACAATATCACATTCTCTTTTTCGAAATTTTTGCTATTTGAGAGTTGTTTCCAGCTGCAGTCCAGTAAAAAATAATTTGATCGCGGTCGGAGGTCCGGATAATCCATATAACTGAGGGCCGATTTGCTTGTTGGTAGTCACGAAGAACCATATTTTAATGGAACTACTGGTTTTTTTTCATTGAAAACCAACAGCGATAAAATTATTGTTTAACTTAATAACATGCACAGACAATGTCTCTAATAACATATTTTCCTGTTAAACAAAAATCTAAATATCCTTATTTCATAAAAAATAAGAAATCGTCTTAGACTCTAAAGTCATAGTGTGCTATGACTTGGTTTTCAGTGAAAAAATACCCAATGTGTACTACACAATAGCAACAATCTGTTTTGTCAAATATTTATCAAAATCAAGAATCTTATAGAGAAAATATTACAAGTACGTTATATACGCGTAAATACACAGTCTCTTGCATAATTGGTTGCATGTCGGAGTGCATGAAGCATGGGTGTTTGTCGGGTGCGATGTTCTAAAAAATAATAATTAAGAAAACCTAAAATGTTGAAATTTTCATTCAGATAGTAAATTGCTAAAATAACTTTCTCGAAATAGCCTTTTTTAAATAAAACTGTATCACAGAAGGCTAATTCTCTTATAATAAAATTAGGTCAAAATTCTCGATCTCGCAACTGTCATTTCTAAATCGATAATTAGTGATGTCCAAAATTTTATGGATAAAATTTAAAAGAAATTTGGACATTACTAATTAACTACTTTTGAAACTGTTAAAAAGAAAGAAGCGAATGGACGGAGAGAAATGATTACTCCCAATCAATGTTGATTACAAACGACTCGTTTTATTTTTTAAATAGAAAAAACATATGGTAAAATTAATCGTAGATTAGGTATTCGAACGGAAATTTGCTTAGTTGTCATTTCACTCTTTTGACACTGTCAAAGTGTCAAGTGGTAAATCTGTGAAGGAGTGAGGTCGTTGATTTTTATATTAGAAATCTTGGATTTTAATTTCGGTGGATTGATAAAAAATAGGTAGCCATGGACGACGATTTACCGACCGACTTCCAGGTCATTGTTGTGGGGACAGGTAAGCCATATTATTTGTATAATACTGCACCGGTCATGATGGCGATAACAGCCTACTTATCGATCTTTTTTTTCATAGCTGTCTAGTCATCAATTTTACATTTGGAAACGCTTTAATTTTCACCCCTTTTGTATTAGTATTTTCGTCTAAGTTAAAATGAAAATGTTTTTGTATTATTGTGGTCAGAAAAGCGTAAACGGCCACTCCTATGAAGCAGCTTAGTCATTAATTAAATATTTGCCATGTAGAACTACTGTCATTGTCTGCCTTTCTTGAAAATGTCGATTACGTTTACAGGTTTCAGTTTCAGAATTTGATCTGGGACAACTATTCCTACATCATTGATATGTACATATTAAATATGTATTAGATAATCATGTTACTGTAATAATGATAAATGATTACCATTTTTTTATTTACATAGTTATTTAATAGGACTTAGAATAATTAGTGTTTAGGCCTTTAGCACTGAATATGGAAATGGTATATCAGTTTAGATTATTCATAATTATGTTATACATGAGAGGAATGTTGATTAGAAAAATACTGATTTCTAATTAGAGAAAAAGGTTTAATATATTTGCATAATTTTTTTAGTATGAATGTGGAATGGATAAATTCATATTATGTTCTCAAAAGATTATTATCAAAATAGATATAAAATTGGCATATTCTAATATAAAAAAAATGGAATACTCTATGTTATCGTAAAACATTTGTAATTTTTTTTTATTATTAGTAACAATGTTTTTTTTATGTATGTTACTAATGATGTTATATAATGAATTTCTAATTATGTTATTCATGAAAACTTTTTCAAAAAATCATTCACTTTATCTTAATTTATGAGCAAGCCACATTTTAAAATTCACTGTATAAAGATTGTATGATTCGTCATCTGAAACTCTTCTATGTAATAATCATATAATCAAATTTTCAATTAACTATGCTTCTGTTATATTTTTAAATTGGTCTTTACAACTTAAAACCATTATTAGAATGTATTTAAGTAATGATAAGAGTTGGTTCACATTGGCCGAGTATTAGGTGGGGTTTGAACCCACAACCACTAGATTGCAATTTAATAACTTAGTCAATAGCTTAAACTAATGATACCAGATACAAGTCCCTTTTATTACAATAGAACATGATGGCTTTTTACTTTAATAAAATTTATGACGGTGATCAGAGAGAGAGATTGTATTTAATCCTCAAGATTAGTCTCCCAGTAAGCTGCAGTATGAAGAGCTGGTTGAGACACATCATAGTTTTTGAAAATCTACAAAAACAAATGAATATCAACTGAAATGTGAAAAGATTTTTACTTAGCACATAACCATTAAAAAATAAATTTTAAAAAGATAACTAATATACTCTAAATGTATATCTCACATTATAAAGCATTACAAAATTAAGAGTATTGAGTACAACTATTTAAAAAGAAATAGCATTCAGGATATTTAATGTATATGAATGTATTTATCTTGAAAACAAGTTTTTTTAGAATTTGTTGTAGATAACATTTTAGGTTAGTGTAATTTTTTTTTTACAATAAATCATAAATATGAGACAACATGTATATTTTTCTATTGCCTTTATTAGGTATGGTGGAATCCATAGTAGCTGCTGCCTGCAGCAGGATAGGAAAGAATGTTCTACATCTAGATTCAAGTGACCATTACGGAGGTCTCTGGGCTTCCTACAACTTTGATGGGCTACAGAAATTTATCAAAGAAGTTAATGAAAATCCCAAGAGACAAGTTCAAGTATACAACTTAGCTGAAAAATGGTATATTGAGAAGTAAGTGGTGCTTATATCATTAATCTAATATAAAAATATCATCGTGTCACTGCATTTGTGGTCACACTTCTCTGAAACATCTCAATCCATTTTAATGTTTTTTTTTTTGGTAGGTATGAGAATAGGTCGTAAAAGTATTTTTCACCCTCCTACCCTGACCCCCATTTTCAATCGCGATTTTATTTTACTTACGTTAGCTTTCTTTGAGAATTTATAAATCGCATTTTGCCAGATCAGATAGTTATTTAAGACAACTGAACTAAAGTTAAGTAATTTAAGATCATTTTGTTTGTGTTATGTAATATTGCCATTACAAGTAGAGGCAAAATTTCAAACCAGCTAGTTAGAGACTGTGTATCCCTTTTTAATTAGAACAATAATTGTAGGGAATTACCGCAAGAAGAGAACAAAGAAGGCGAAGAAAAAGCTGAAGATGCTAAACCAGAGCCTCCTAAGAAATTGTGGAGTCAGACAAACTTTGCATCAGAGTATAGGAAGTTTAATATTGACATGACTCCTAAGGTGTGTATCTTATAGTATTTATATATTATATGAGTAATTTTTGTTGATTTTGATCTGATAAATACATATTTACAGGCACAAAACATACCTATATTGTAAACTTAATTTTTGTGAGTTAACAAAGTCATACAACTACGATGTTAGGTTCTATGTTGTAAAGATTGGTAAAGGTACGAAAATCGTACCATTCAGTTATATAACTAAATGTAGATATCAAAGTTTTAGATTTTAGAGAATTGCTAGCTCTTCCCTGAAGTTTTACCTCTTTTTGTGGTACAGCTCTGCTCCTAAGGATCGTAGGAGAACACAGCACTTTTTAGGATCGATAGGATGGCTATCTTTTTCGGATAAACGCGCGGTTGGCATTGACGTGTAGCTTAGAATTGTCAAGGTAATAACTATAATTTGACCTTTCATAAAAGGTCAAATTAATAACAATGGAAGTTTGTAATTTTACTACTGTAGCTTGCTTTCTCCCACTTCGGAACTATTATTAGGCTTCTCAGAATTAATTTATTTTATTTCAAATAGTTTATTATTCCCTGTGGTGATGAATTAAGACAACGGGGTGCCAGGATCCATATTCATCCCGTGGGTGTGGTAAGAGTCGGCTAAGGGAGCAAACCCGTCTGGCCAGCGTTATATAGTAGGCCTATGTCCAGCAGTGGCCTACTGAAGGCTGTTGATGATGATGATGAAATAATTTATTCGAGTGACCAGACTTATCAGTGTTAGTAATACAATGTATGTGGGTCACCGCTGTGCTATCCCGGCAGAGACAGCACGTACAATCCAGCCGGCTGGATATAATGCGTAGGATGCTGTTAATGCTGGCCCAAACGCTGCGCACCAGAGGCGCACATCTCTTCCGCATCGTTGGATAATGGAATACATTTTGTCAGATTAAAGTTTCATGTCAGTTTTAAGTTGACCCAGTAAACGATCTAATTCAATTAGTAGATCCTAGAGATTTTAAAGATCAAAGATTAGCCTTATAACACTGTAGCTATAATAACTAAGATCTATAAAAGACTTACGGAGCGGATTTTTATACAGTTTTCACTAATGGATAAAGTGATTCATGCGAAAGATTTAAGTGTACAAGTCATTAGCGTTTTTATACATTTACTGAAATATCACCACGATGTTGGAGTTGTCGGTAAAAATCATGCCCACTGGAGCCCACGTAGCGTGAGACTCGTAAACCAAATAGTAATATAATGCATGCTGATTTATATGTTTGAATCTAAGTTATAAATTATTGATATATTTGATGTTAACTTTGAGGAAGTTAACCCTCACAATCAAAGGGATCCATTAAAGTGTTTCTCTTGACCACCAATGTGTATCAAGTTAAATTTTTAAAGATAAATTTGACAGCTTACTGCAAAGTGTGCCATCTTGATCGCCATCTTCGTTGTTTAAAAATTGTAAAATATGTAAATCCCCATTGTGTTATCCTATTCTATGTTGCTTAGCTGCTCTTCTCTCGAGGGCCTCTGGTTGAACTTCTCATCTCGTCTAACATCGCTCGTTACGCGGAGTTCCGATGTGTCACCCGCGTGTTAACGTGGCTCAACGATCGCCTCATGCCAGTTCCATGCTCTCGCGCCGATGTATTCGCAACCGAAGCTGTCGGTATCGTAGAGAAACGACAGCTCATGAAGATGCTGACATCTATTGTCGGATACAATGAAGAGGAAATGCAAAATGAATTTAAGGGTGAGTATTTTTCTTTATTAAAAACATATTGTAGCAACACGTTATTAAAACGTTCCTTTAGTAATTTTTCTTCATTCCTTTGTGGACCTAAAGCCTGGTTCACAGTTTTCGCTATTCCAGCAGCATCCAGAAATCGTCGCTAAAGTGCTACTGGAACAATGTAAATATTTTTTTGTTTCTGCTCGCACATTCTTGCGCCAATATAACCGTATAGGCGTCCATGCCAGTGCTGGATTAAACTAACAGTAAACAAGATTTTTATTTTTGAAGCATTACTCTTTAACCATTTTTAGTGTAGTATGAGACACTTAATTTTGTCCAATACCTTACACGAAAGAAATCTGAACCAATAGATAAATAAAGGCCCATTTTAAATAATTTTTGTTACTATTTTCAGTAGATAAAAAGGTAAGAGTGACTTCTACTTTTATTTTGCAGGTATAGAGTCTACGTTAATTTATTTTTTAAATGAACGATAACAACCATTCAAAATTGTCTGCCATTATTCTCTGCCAATCTGTATTCAGAAGAATTTTCTGACTCCAGATGTTTAAGTCTCCTAATTCCAGACCCAGATCCTTTTTGTCTTCCACTTCCACTATTACTTCTTCTTTTTATACAGTTAGAAAAATGTTCAAACTCCATTCTTTAAATCGCCACTATAGTATTACCGAATAAACAGCTTTTCAATTACTGGAATAATAAAAACTGCATGATCCAGCACTGGATTGGATTGACTCCTTGAATTACTGGACTGGGGACTGGATATAATGTGAACCGTGAATGTGTTATCACAGTTCTTGTTAAGGGTTATAAAGTTTCAAACTTTCTCTAATGCTCAGCCTTAAATAAAACTCGTTGGTCAAAAGTAGCGTAAATTTGAGGGCGAGTAGTGATGGCAACTCCGTAAACAACACAAAGATAATTCGATTTATTATGTAGTGTACACATTTATTAGATTACCTAACAGTGATTGCTCTTAGCAATAAGGCCGCCCTTTGTACATAATATGTCTGACATTTTTATGTCAGACATTAGATACTTTGTAAAATAGTGTACAAGTAAAGAGTTTTTTATCTATGTATCTAACTATTATTAAAGTACTAAACTAGATTCACATTGCTGTGACACTTTCTATGAACTTGATCCACGTAAATGAGGAACAGTACTCTCCGCGAGGTCTGAGGATAACTAATCTGTTTTGAGAACTTCAGCTAATTTAATTAGGTACTACAAAATTAATAACTAGTAAAAAAACAATTAATCCTCTAATTTTCCTAACATTCATGTTCTTAAAAAGTAATTTTGTGCCTTAGATTGGAACGAAAAATCCTTCAAGGAGTATCTTACACACAAAGGTTTGACTCCCAACCTAATCCACTACGTACTGTTCGCGATCGCCGGCGGAACGAACAATATGCCTTGCTTGGAGGGTGTAAAGGAGTGCAAGAAGTTCTTGATGAGCTTGGGTCGTTACGGCAACACGCCCTTCCTTTGGCCCATGTACGGGAGTGGAGAGCTGCCTCAATGCTTCTGCAGGTAAACTTCGTCATGTATTTGCTATCATTCTTCATTATTATATGCTATCAGCTGACTACTTTCACTAAAGTCCTTAATTTTACTTTTTCTTACAAAATACGATGAAAAGTGATAGTATTTATGTTATAGTCATATATAAATCTGTTTATTACTTTGTTTATTTTATATTTCAAACTATGTTTGTTTTGAATGTTTTATATTTGTACAAAGAAGGAATTAATGCCCAGGCATTCTCTACTAGCCAACCTTGGGGTGATTTAAGAATGTTAAATAATATTTGTGGTCATTGCGTATATGACTCAGTCAAACTTTTATTTCAAACAGCTGTGACAACACACAGCTGTGTTTGACGTCATTTACTTATTAGGTTATTTACTTGTCATATCGCATAGCCTTTTTTTTTTTTTTTTTTTTTTTTTTTTCCGTGCGGAAATCCCCTCGGATACCACCTGTCGGTGGCATGTCGGACACGAACCGACTAAAACCGCACGCCGTCGCCGGGTACTAATAGCCGGGGAACCAGGTATACCCTAGAAAGGAAGTCCCTGGTGCCCCGACATACCTCGGGTCATCTACAGACGAGTAGACGACCCCCCCCCGTGTGGGAACCCCATGTTCCCTGTGCTCCCTGGAAGCGAGCGCGCTTCGCAACGCGCTCGCCTCCACCCCGGCCTGCTTCTGCTAGGGTGACAGATGGCCTCACCTGTCACCCCCAGGCCTGCGCTTATGGAGGACGGAGGTCGTTCTGCGAGGGAGAGAGAGAGAGAGAGAGCGGGAGAGTTCTAAACCTCTCCCGGTCCCGCTCCGCCGTCTCCTTCGCGAGCATAACTTGCTCGCAGAAGGAGACGGCCATATCGCATAGCCTAGCGATAACTTAGGGTAAACAAATTCTTTCCAGAGGTCACGTATGTAGGTCTCGATCTATAATAGGTCATCCTGAATGTATTAGAAAGAAAAGCCATGACTTTTCTAAAGTGGTCCAAAATTCGCCTTTATCCATATTTCAAATTCAGATTTCATAGGGTTCCGTATTTCAAACAATGAACCCTTATAATTTTGTTATGTCCGTCTGTACGACCGCGGCTTGACTCAGAGATTATTATTACCTCAAACCTACTTACTAAAAGTTTCAATTCCGCATAGGTGTAAATATTAATGACACCGAAAAAGCAGTAAAAAAAAATGTTTAAGGATATCGCCCTTACACGTGAAGTAGAGTATAAACTTTTTTTCTCCTATTTCTTAGTGTAGATTTAGAGATAGGTCTTTTAACAACATCGGAGAAGTGTTCCCTACTCCAGTCAATTTTAAGACTATTTTTCAATTTAGGGATCAGTTTATCAGTATAGATCGAAATATTGATCTTTGAACTACTAAGGGATTTAGAAACAAAACTATTGCTGCCAACAGTTGCCTCAATTAGTTTAAGAGTATAGTCGCCAGACTTATGAAATGTATTTGGAAGTTTTGGTCTAGAACACAAAATCTTTGGAAAAAATGGAAAGATGTTAGTTGTTTAAAACGTGGTAGTAAACTAGCGCACCCAACAATCTGCGAGGCACACACAAATTCCTGTTTATTAAAAATACTTTTTTAACGGACCTGTACTCGGAACTAATATTATATTAAAACACATACCTGTATGCACAATTAATCTATACAAATAAATAAAATTGAAGTGTCTGTTTGTAATGTCAAAATAGTAGGTTTTTTTCATAATCAAAAGGTTATTTGCACGATACCTATGCCTAAAAGCCAGTTTATTTTTTTTGTCTGTCTGTCTGTTTGTGCTGGGTAATCTTCTAAACGGCTGGACCGATTTTGATAATATTTTACTAGCAGGTAGCTTTTAGCCGACTTCAAAAAGAAGGAAGTTGTTAATTCGCATGTTTATATTTTTTTATGCATACATAACTCCGTCATATATGGATTTTCAAAATTTTTTTTTTGTTCGAAAGGGCTTTAGTCCGAAATGGTCCCATTTAAATTGTATATAGATCTGAGGATGACCTTTGGAAACAGACAACGGAACTCTTAAAAAAAAATGACAGCAAATCAACCGCGATTGCCCATAGGTTTTTAATATTCTTTGTTAGTATTGTTAGACGTTGGTCCACCTTAAAAAAAAGGATTTTTCTCAGAATAACCTTATGAAATTTTGCCCGACCCGAGAATCGAATCCGAAGCCTCACGTACCGTACTACACCACTAAAACAGCGCAGGGTCGACTCTAGCTGTTGGAGCGACCCCGTGCAATACCGATGAAGCCGCCCTTTTTTTCGTGCGAAAATCGCCCCTCGGATAACCCCCACCGGACAGCCGATAAGGTGGTTATGAATTTCAATACCGATGTAGTTATTTTTATCCTAATTTCAATGAGTTAAAAAATCATTACTTAATTTCCATACTAATTATACCGCGGCATGTCGTGGCATGCCGCGGGACGCCGCAGCATGTCGTATCCTAGGAAGGAAATCCCTGAAACCCCAACGGGTCCCGAGTCGTTTATGGCTTACAGACAGTTTCCAGATGTGTAGTGACCACGGTTTCCCCTCCCTGCCCGTAAAGGAGCTCCGGAGCTCGTCGACACCTGTCAACCCCAGGCCCGGCGCTTATGAAGGACGGAGATCGTTCAGCGACCACCAGCGCTTAAGCCACCTACAGTGCCTGGTCCGTTCCGGGGACTGGAACGCCCTGACTGTTCTAAAGACACGACAGTGGTAAATTGTTATTATTGTTGCAAAAAAGTGCACCATGAAAGTGCGGGCTGACGCGCGACGGTCGGCGGTTCAATGACCTAAATGTGCACCACTCGACTACGCAAACAAAAATGAACCAACTTTCTAATGTTGCATGCTGCACAGTTTAAAATATCGTATTTTTAGCTATTTCATTTATTTCGTTGGTATTTAAGGAAAAGATAATAAATAAAAAAAACGTAAAATGAATAAGACCCTTTTATGTGCTATAATTGGCCCAACTCATTTACTTAACACATTTTTCAGTCACACACTTAAAACTCAAATCGATATTGTGCTCTATTTAACTTTTTTTTTAAATTAATTCTAGAGTTTGTTAATATAGTTCTCCGAAGGGATTTCCGCACAGAAAAAAAAGGAGGACCGAATTGGCTTGTATATGTATCTCGAAATTACAAATAATATTATTAAGGGCAATCGTTCTATTAGTAGAACAAATTAGTTTTTGCAATATTTTAATTGACCTTGTAATACCTAAATTGTCCTCCATTATCATTTTTATTGTTTTTATTTCTTCAAATCAACCTTATTGAACAATAGCTAGGTATAACGTCACGCCATAGTATTTAATATAAAAAGATACAGATTTGATTACAATCAAGTCAAGTATGTATTTGCATTCAATGGCCAGGAATGGGTGCACTTAAGCTGCTAAATATTCAGAACTCATTGAAGACGTTTATTTTACTTTTTATGAAGGACATTCGGTCATTCATACTATCATCGAGGAGTTAAAGTTGAACGCCATTTCGAAGGGTATATGTCAAGCCCTGCCTTACGTAATTAACAAAAAAAATCTTCATTTTGAAAGTTGTGTCAAAATTTAGACCACTCCCCTTATAGACAATCGGCTATTGATGATTCAGACCTGTCTCCCAAAGATTAATTAATTGATTTAGAAAAACATTTCGAAACGCCTTTGTGCGTAGCAGTTATTTTTATATTTTATATGCTATAAAAACGTCTGTGAATCATCGATGCTCCCATTCTGCTAGAGGAATGTTACTAATTTTCTTTTTAACGAATGGTTTGAAATTAAGTAATTGGTACATAAGAAATGCCGCTTGCGATAATATGTAGGTACGGGTACATTATAAGTTCCAAAAAGTATATACAGGTACTATATGTGTACTATATGTACAAGTACTAAAGCTTTTTGCTGTGTACTGTTTAAGTATGATGTTAACTTTATTGCAATTAATTAGTATTTCCCATTACATTAATAAATTCTATAAAACATCAAGTCTTTAAAATGAAGAAAATAAACAGACGATTTAACGCTGAAACTTTATTTTCATGAAACCATTGAACCGATTTGTTTGCGTTTTATACAAGGTTATTCACCAGGAAGTTTATAATTAAAAAAATAGGAGGCAGATCTAATGCTCTCTATGGGTCGATTGAAGTAATAACATTTCAATGTATATGTTTTATTCTTGATCGTCTGAATGTCTTATTATTATGTATATTTCAGTTTTGTTGTTGTTATTTCCACACACGTATGAACTTTTCTTTGTTTAGATTATGCGCCGTATTTGGCGGCGTATACTGTCTGAACCGGCCGATTGACAAGGTGGAGACGAAGACTATCGATGAAGGAAAGACGGTGGTGACTATCGAAAGCAAGTCAAAGACGTTGAATTGCGATCACCTCGTTATTGGTATTAACGAATGTCCTAAGGACTTAATCTCTCCCGAGCCTGCGGAGGGCTGCGACATATCTAAGGCGGTGTTCATCACCAATGGGACTATTATGAAGAGTGAGAAGGAACCACTGACTCTGCTCCGATTTCCGCCAATCACTGATGATGATAATGCTGTCACGGTGCTGGAAGTTGGACCCGCTACTGGATCGTGCCCTAAAGGGTTGTGTAAGTATAGATATACCTATTTATGGAAGTGTACCTAAATACACACACACGCACACACACACACACATAAAACATACACAAACACGCACGCATACCCAAACACACAGAAACGTATCCATACACACACATACATTGTATACCTACATCGTATAAAATATGAGAGAAGTGCTATTTACTTTGGATTTAAAAAAATGCAGAAAGAAATCTATTTATAAAGGATAAACAGTTTTACTAAGGTGTGTATGTGACACCGATGCGGAAGGTCACTTCATCTTTAATAAAGTCCTCCTCCTGGTTAGAAACTAGTCGGGCATCCCTGAAATACACACCTATATAAATAATACCGTTCACCCTTCAAAAATATAAAGATTACTCACGAATGTTTTCATTCCAATATGCTATAATCTATCTAGTGGCATAAATCTATTCAATGGAATTTCTTTGGATACAATATATTTATTTATATAAGAGAATTAAAACTTGAAACAAACCCTATACCAACCCGTCTGGCCAGCGTGGTAAAGTAAGCCAAAATCTCCTTTCTAAGGAGAGGCCTATGTCCAGCAGTGGACTATTTCAGGCTGTTGATGTGTGATGTGATTTTATATAATTCTTTTTTACTCCATTTTTACCCGAATGGGTTTATCGACTGTATGTATGTACATTTTTAGCACTCTCTAAAGCCTAAACGGCTTCGTGTTAATTGTGAGAGTAATACTGGGTAGTAATACTTAGTATATGAGAATCATAAAATTAAAACGCGCATTTCACCAGTCAGGTTTTTTTTTCTCTCAATAGTTAACTTGTTATATAAATAAATAGTAAATCTGTCTTCACTATGAGCTACCTATTCGAATTTTCTAGTAGTACTTTACACTAATCTTTTTCAATTAGTTGAATACAGTGTACAAATACTTAAATTTCATAACGAAAAAGTCATTTTAAGTGTTTAATTATATTTGTACGCCTTCAGGCGTATCATATCGCTCTGTATAATTTCGGTGTCATGTATTTTTTCCCTGAAAGTGCCAATAAGTGAGTCACAAGTTTATATTGTAAGAGACATTTGAGGCCGTTTTACGTGGCGTGGGTATGATATCAACACTTCCTTGAATATTGAAGAATTTGCGAGAATGAATGAGACTTTGTAATGAGTTCTGTTGCCAGTATTGAGGTGATCTTACCAACTGAAGCAAAATAGCTTACATCCAGAACAGTATAGTAGCATCCCTTGTAAAGGTATAAAGTTTACTTTTATATAACCCTTAACAAACTTAATTATTTGTTAATTAAAAGTAATTATTTTAAATTGTGAAACCAAACATAAATGATTTGACGGTAGCAAAGTATGACGTCACAAGTTGTTACAGCATATAAAGGTATGTTCTTAAGAACTAACTTTTTACACCTTTAGTGAAAACAAAATGATCTGATTTGTCAACGAACTACCTTATTGTAGAGATACATACAATAAAGTTCAAAAGTTAGACTATTATCTATTGTCTAATTTAATGTATGATTACTTCTTATAATATTACAGACCCGTTACAGATGAACAAAGCAAACCATTTTTTTAGTAATTGCTGTTTTTATTTTCATAACCTAGCCCGAAATAGCTATTTTTTAAATAAGGAAACTCATTATGTAACGGAAGCAATTCGGTCGAATCTTAATATTGTTCAAGATTTTAAAGCAGCTCTTCGCTTCAGCCGAACGTACGAAAAACATTCATGGTCACTTTACTTTTTTCAATTAGTTTTTTTACACAATTGCGCCACTCGGTAACACGTTGAGCTTCCGACTTTTTGTTAGCTGTATGTGAGTCACACCAACCACAGATAATTTAATGGGTTTCTGATTAGACTGAGATATTTCTTTAACTTTTACCGTTATATGATGACGGTCACAGTAATATAAATGGTGAAACGACTTATGTGACAGAGTTAAAACGTTCGATTTCTGTGGCTAAATGTAGGTAGTTGTAGAGACGTGAATAAACCATTAACCTCTAAAAATAGGTGAAGCTATTACATATTTATTTATTTATTTTACATATCACGTTGAGTATTTCTTAACTATGTGTATATCAACTTTTTCAATTTACACTCTACATTATAAACGGAGTTTAGACAGCGCTACTGTTATAGTGTTATTATTTACTGCTCGTTTATAAATGTTTATAAACGAAGGAACGAACCAATGAACTATTCGTAGGAATACCTATTGTAACTTTTATGTAAAGCAGAAATGGCATGATAAGTACTATAAAACTGTTACAAAAAGTAAAGGCTCAGGTGTCGGACTTGCACTCAATTGGTTGTAGATTCGAATAACCCACAGGTTGTGGGTGACGCAGTGCAGAGAGTGACAATCAGCTCCCGAGGAGGTTCGATTGTGCATATCATAACCACTGACTTACTTATATGCATCTGTCTCGAGAAGATGATTTGGTCTTGTCTGCCAGCACTGCAGGGACTCAGCCTTCTAAATTAAATTTTTAATTATTATAATAATAATAACCTCACACATCTCACACACGGCCGTCTGATCCCAAACTAGGCAGAGCCTGTGTTATGGTAACCAGACAGCTTATAAACATACTTATATATTTTTAAATACATACATATTATAGATAAATTACACCCAGACAAAGAACAAATGACCGTGCTCATCACACAATATTTGTCCTGGGTGGGAATCGAACCCACGACCTCCGGTTTAGCAGTCAGGGTCACTAACCACTAGACCTACAGGCCCGTCAATTCACTAAGTTAAGAGCAATAAAAGGATAGTATGTATTTTCTTTTAAGAGTAATATATTTACTGAATAATTTTTACAGTTGTAGTGTACTTCATAACCAATAAGGTGAAGGATGCCGAGAGCGATCTCCTGCCGATTGCTGAAAAGATCTTCGACATGTCAGGAGGCGACCAATCTGCCGAATCCGAGAAACCGAAGGTACTTATATTAAAACATAATATTAAATGAGACATTTTTTTGTAGGATTTGTATAATGTACTTAGGTTAGTTATGGTTAGGTATGATATTTCGATTTATTGATTTGAAATTAGATCTCAGTGGTAATATTTTAATTAATGACTTGGAATAATTTTAATAGCACCATAATGTATGTAAAAATATTATAAACTGGTACCGCAAAGATTTTGTTAATAAATACAGATTTTTTGCCAACTGAACTTAGGACAATGTCGTCATCCATTTAGGTATATCGATATAAATTCGGATTTCGTTTTTGATCAAATTAATGTTATGGTCCTAATAGGACAAAAAAAATGTAAAACTATTTTTGATGTGTGAAAACATCTTTTCTTTGGCTTTCTTGCAATCTCTAGAAGTGATCAAATGTCATTTGAACAATGAGCGTATGCGGTGCTAAAGTTTGCCATCAAATGATATGGAAATGGTGAAATGTACATCATATTGGACTACTATAAGGTGATTCGTTTTTATTATTTAAACTAGCTGAGACCCGCGGTGTTATCCGCATTTGTTGTTATAACCGCGGGCAACGCCGCGGGGCGAAGCTACTCTAAAAAAAAGTAGCCTAAGTTACTCCTTATGTCATCAGCTATCTGCCGGTGAAAGTCCCGTCGAAATCGGTCCAGCCGTTCCAGAGATTACCCGGAACAAACAGACAAACAGACAGACATACGAAAATTGTAAAAAATGATATTTTGGCATATGTACCGTGTAAACATACATATGCATTTAGTAAAAAGCGGTTATTTTAATATTACAAACATACACTCCAATTTTATTTATTTGTATAGATTAAGAATAACCTTTTCAATAGACCACAGTAATATATTTTTCTCGTGGCAATTTTTATTCTTAAACTCCCTATGTGTCTATGGGTAAATTACACGTTTTTTTCATATGACGCAGGACCTGTTCTCAGCGTAGTTATTCGTTATAGAGATTGCACGTAATGTACGGCCCCTAATATTCGATACTAGTCGTTATAAGTCTAGTTATTTCTCTATATAAGTCTAGTTATCTTATTTGTAGTTTTACTCGCATTTATATCCACGTCTACACTCCTAAGGGTCGTAGCGTGATGTTACATATATAACCAAAAATCTATCTAACACAAAAATATCATTTAATAAATATTTGACCAATGGGAGCATTTGAAAAAATAAAAAGGGTAAAATTTATAGTAACACTATATTACACTAGTTTCTTTTGGTATTACAAAAGTTCACTAACCATTTGTTTACATTTTTGGAATGTTTTTTGTTCCAGTGCTTGTGGTCCCTGTTCTACAACGTGAAGGATACGAGCGCGCCCGTTGACAGCATGAACGACAGCGTACACGTGTGCTCCGGACCTGATGCTGGACTAGACTTCGATAGGGCCGTGGAACAGGTACGTTGATTACTAATCAGCCATTTTGTTCAGCCTAATGGTGATCATTCTAAATAAAATTTTGGCATATTTCATTAAAAAAAAAGTATGTCACGTATGGATTTTTTAAGGGCCTAAAGTAAACGAATTGTACTTAAACGTGTTGTTACTCCAAGTCTTTTCCAAAATACGTTGGGGTCGGCTTTAAGTCTAATACGATACGGCTAATTTTTTGAATGTTTAACGCGGAGCGCTTGACCTCCAGACCTCCACAACCCAAGTACTAGGCGATATCAAAGTTCTGTAGGAAGACTGATACCGGAAGCCTATTGGCGGTTTCGCCAATAGGCTTACAAAACAATAAAAGTAATTAATTATTCCTGTTACAATACAACTGTTTACAAGTCCTATAATCACATACTTATTGAATTCAACAAAAATAGACGCTGATTTGATTTCTTAATTAAATAATTTATTGATAAATGACGATTAATTGGGTAAAATATATAATAATTAACAATCAAAATGTCAAAATATTGAATAATCGAAAATGTAAATGTGGATTAAATAGAAGACAGCTTTATTTTTTTCCTTTCTTTATGTTTTCGTCACTTACATTTCTATTCAATCTTACTTTCTTATCTTATATGCTCTTCATTGCCTTTTTAGCTATTAGTTCTTAACAATTGACATACTGGCCCACATCAAAACAATGTTGTGGTATATTTAATGATGCCATTGTATCTGTCCACTAATTTAAAAAGATTAGCCGTGAATTTGTTTGCCCTTTCTTTTCATAAGGCTTAACCTCTTGCAAACGGTCGGCTGTAGATCGGCACAGGCATATATGTAATAGATTTCGATAGTTATCATTTTATTAAATTTATTTTGCTATCATAGTCAAGATAGTCATAGTTAATGTAGACTCTAAAGTCATAGATCAACAGACATAATAGCAACAATCTCTGTTTAGACAAATATTTAGCAAAATAAATTTAATAAAATTAGACTATGACTATATATATACTATGACTTTAGAGACTTTAGAGTCACAATCACAATATAATTTTTACAATTGATATTGTATTTTTTTCAAAATACTCTCCTTTACTCTCTTTACAAATTTCCATCCGCCTAAACCAGTCTTGGAAACACTTGATCTAGTCTTCTTAGTAAATTTTTATAGAAGCGTGGTCGTGGTGTCCATGTGCCACGTATCCAGCACATTGACATGTCATGTCAGATATGAAAGATTGAAATAATGAAAAATTTTGCTTTTATCAAACCTTACTTGATTTTTAGTTTGAGGCCAAATGGTGACTATGAAAGCTAGATTGACTTAATGAAGGCTTATATACTTTTATTTTGTAAATCCGTACATATTATAAATAGAAAACACAGTAACTCCGAAACAAATATTTGCAGTCGTATAAACATTTTGTCCGACTCGGGAATCGAACCCATACCGAAGGCATACGCTACCACTATGGTGCAGCAGTCAACGCCACTTCATGAAAAGAGGAAGGAATAAGAAATAATAATATATTGTTTAAAATAGCTTCGTAAATAACCCATTATCTTTTTATAATATTTAAAAGATAAAAATATTTTACTGTGGTTTATCCTTTTTAAGATATACAATTCAGGTTTAGCCAGGGTTTGCAATGTAAGCTCACAAAAACATGTTTTTTACGACAAATCTATGAAATTCTCGGATTTCCTCTTCTATAATATGCATGTGTTATACATATAAACCTTCCTCTTGAATCACTCTCCCTATGACCGCATTAAAATCCGTTGTTGTGTTTAAAAGATCTAAGCAAGTGCGTACGTACTATAGCAAAAAAAGTGTAGGAAAAAGTCTTGTTACACTTTTTTAAGTCTCGCTCTCATCCGCTCAGAACACGCGATGAAGAACTTCGGTTCAATAAAAATAATCGATTCCTCCAATCTCACTATGTTCTTAAACAATTGCAATCCATAAATAGTTTTATTAATTTATCATAATATAGATAAATGTTGTAGTCACTCTCGTAACTGTAGTTAATGTAAATAATCATTACCTGCTACTTAATAAAGTAATAAGATTTATTGAATTAGGAAAGTAGTATTAAAATAATCATCATCAACAGCCTTTACTAGTCCACTGCTAGACATAGGCCTCTCCTTAGAAAGGAGGTTTTGGCCTACTACACCACGCTGGCCAGACGGGTTGGTATAGGGTTTGTGTCAAGTTTTCCTTCTCTCTGCAGTGCTGTTATCCTGCGTATTTTGTTCCCTTAGTCGCCGCCTCTTACTACACCCACGGGATGAATAGAGGGTGGTGACACTCTCTGTATTCTTAATCCGTCACCACACGGATGAATTAAAATAATATAAATAAGTATAATATAGACATTACCATTGAGGGTTTTATTTTATGCCTACTTTACAAACGATTCTCTCCATTTTGTTAGACTGATTTATTGGTGACTGACGTGTGCAGGACGCACATAGCTTAAAAAAAGCATACACCTAATATACTTACGCTAGTAACTAAAGAGGACCTTAAATCAAAATCGAAACTTGCTTCTCTGAAACTCGGTTTTTTCGATTATACTCGTATGGTATGATATCCTTGGCATTCGTTTTTTATTTTAAATTAACATTTAGAGGTTGACGTGAAGTGACATAAAACTAAAGTCCTACCTATCCAGGTACAAACAATTTATTATTATGGCAGAGTAGCTCAGATATAGTGCTAAAATTAACTCGATTTTTGGGTAATCAAATAGTGTAGGTATAATAAATGCAATCACTTCCTAAATAATACTTTTCATTTTCTGAACAGGCTGAACAAATCTTCAAGAAGATCTGTCCTGGCGAGGAGTTCTTGCCCCGTGCCCCTGATCCAGAGGAGATTGTGTTTGAAGATGATGTGACTCACGGACCCGAGTTCCAGCGTGAGCACGAGGAAGAGGCCGAGGGCGACGCTCCCAAGTAGTCGGCTCGCCGCGACTGGCGCCTCACTCTGTCAGCACGTTTGAGCGAGAGTTCGTGCGTCCAAGGCTTTAGATGTGGATTGACTTTTATACTGTAGGAATTTCAAATAAAGAACATAATTAAATATTGCTATATTGCACCTTAAGCTTTATAACAAAATCCACAGTTCTTTCCTTGGTCTACGAGTATTTTGCTCTTATTTGTAAGTCGTATTGAAATTTCGATGATTTAAATAATTTGACACGCTTAAACGTGCTGAAACTAAGATGTAATCTCAGTAAGATTTATACGCTTTGGTCGCTTGACTTCGCGCATTCCGACTGGTGCGTTAAGGTGGCGAATGTAAGATACGGATAATGGAAGTTTGAAATCATGGAAGTTTGAAATCATGGATACGCATTTTACAAACGCGTGTTTCGAAGTTCGTGACCCGCTAAGTTCGTAGTTTTGAGAATTAATAAATGTACTGATAGTGCCCATTTCGTTGTTTATTTCTAATTATGAAATTGACATTTAAATTATGCAACAATTGGACTCGGCGGGTCGTTACCTATTCTATCCGTGGTCTGTCAGGGTAGACTATTACCCAGCTGGGTTGTCTTGATCTATTGAATAAGATTGACTTGTAGCTTTCGGAGGTTTAAGCTCATTGATTATAGATTTAACAGCCAACAGGAACCCGAGATCTAGTTGATATCCAGTGTAATTCGGACTTTATATCTTATTAAGTATATATGTAATATTTGTATTATCACGCATGGTTGCTATGCTCTCTACTGAACAATATTTATTTGGCATTGTTAAGTATCAAAGTTTTTTAACCAAAAGAATTATATTGTTCAAAAGTGAAAGAAAATATTACATGGAATAGTTTGTTATCACCAAGGTTAAGTGTAATATTTTTGGACGCACCAGTCTAAATCATAGATTGTAGTACATATAATTTTTATTAAGTTACTTAGCACTTTTATGATATTTATTGTCAAAATAATCATGCCTGTGCAGCTTATGCATTTATAATTCCATTAAATATAACTAGAAAGAGTTGTTTGTTTTACCTCTTAACCTAGAAGACCTAGCAATTACACTGCATAAGAAGCCAAGTCGTAAATAATGCAATATTACTGACGAGATTAGTAATATACATACTTCAATAACAAGATTTATTAAAATAGCAGAAAATATTTGATGTATTGGCAAATTAAATAAAGACTTCTAATCACACTTTTTATTATAGTAAATCTCTTCAAGCAACATCAATTGCTTTTTTAATAAAAACATCAAGTAAATATTATAAAATATTACAATTTAATACTCTGTTGCAATGGATAACAAGTTACTTATAATGTTATTATACACTATTTTTGACACTAATTATGTTCAAACATATAAAAGATTACATCACACAAAAATTAACTAGATATTTTTCATACTTTCAGATATACATATACCTATATTGATTAAAAATCCATGTCTGTGACATTTAAAACTTAACTTAAAATAACCTTTTTCATAAGAAAAACTGCACATTGCCTCCCAACTGTGCAGAGTAAGTCCTTTTCATGAATCTCAGATCTCCTGAATAGCTTATATCACATAGATAGCTCACTGAGTGTGCTCCTATGTCCTGACAGCTATGTTGCATACCAGCTTGCAGATATGGAAGAAATCGAAGTACTGAGCCCTTGTCAACAATGCTTCCGCTTACACCCTGTGCATCTCTGTGTTTAATAGTTTCTTTGTGGAAGTATCTGCTCATTGCAGATCTTTTGCCATCCTTGTTCTCCATGGCTTCTAAATCGCCTATTCCTCTGTGTTTCTTCTACCTTACACCATCAGAGAAAAAGTACTCACCAGGTGCTTCTGACGTTCCAGCCAGACAATATAACCAACACTTAGTATCCCACCATCTGCAATAATGGGGACATTGAACTTGCGTGAGTAGGTTGCATCTTAATACACAGCAGTTGCTTGAGGTCACCCAAAAGCCATTACCATTTATTTATTGTACATATTGGATCTCTTATGAATCCATGTTTGTATTTCTTCACCTTATGAACTTCATTGGCCTGGTATTCAGAAGTTACAGTTATGGGGTATTATACCAATGCCTCTGCACAAAGCCATCACAAAGCCATGGCGATTGCCATATTAGCTTTAGTTACATTGTTCATTGGAGCCGATACTTAAGGCGTTTTGAGGTTAATCGAGGGGAAGTTATATCTACCTCTTCAGCAGTGAAGTCTATGTATCCGGGTAGCATCAAAAAGTCGTTATAGGTGAGGCCTTCCCCATTCTACATGGTGAATACTCATTCTTCCTCTTGAGTTATACAAATAGAACCACTAAACACCCCAACCCTCAATGCATCAGCCCTTTCATCTATAAGATTTTGCATCCTGCTTGCATCCTTGTGACAACATTGCCACCTTTAAGTTGAATATCAGGGTAAATCTTTTTATATACTTGATTATGTCAACTTGATATTTTGAGTTGCCTGAGATGAGTCAAGAACTATCACATCTACTCCATTTTAACTTTAGTTGTTTGTCTGTTTCACGAGTATCAATCGCAGCTCCTACTAGAAGTTGCTTATTAGAATCCTTTGATGCATTACGGTAGGTGCATGTCTTTTTCAAGTCTGTTCATGCAATCAGAGCTGCTAGTTAACCAGCCTCCTTGATGATTGGCAGTTTTCCTTTCTTGCTCTTCTCGAGTACGTAATTAGCATCTTATAAAGTGATACCAGATTGTGCTGTTATAATATCATCAATCAGTGTCATAAACTCTTTCAGGCTCAGCTGTTTATCACTCTTCCTAAAATCTATATATCTGGACGTAACAATACCAATTAGGCTCCCACCCAACTTGCCCTTTTCTGTAATGGAATATCCAGTAAAAACCATTCTTCCTTCAGGCTTTGATAACGTCAGCGACCATTTCGTTTAGACCCATGCACATTGGATCTCTAATGAATCAATGTTTGTATTTCTTCACCTTATGAACTTCATTGATTAAAAATTCATGTCTGTGACATTTAAACCTTCATTTAAAATAACCTTTTTTCATAAGAAAATAAACTGTGCACATTGCCTTCCAACTGTGCAGAGTAAGTCCTTTTCATGAATCTCAGATCTCCTGAATAGCTCATATCACGAAGAATGCTCACTGAGCATGTCCTATGTCCTGACAACATGTTGCATACCAGCTTGTAGATATGGAAGAAATCGAAGTACTGAGCCCTTGTCAACAATGCTTCCCTTACACCCTGTGCAACTCTTGGTTTATCAGTTTCCTTGGGAAGTATCTGCTCATGCGGACCCCTTTGCCATCCTTGTTCTCCATGGCTTCTAAACTGCCCATTCCTCTGTATTTCTTCAACCTTACACCATCAGAGAAAAAGTACTCCCCAGGTGCTTCTGACGTTCCAGCGAGTAAAGAACCCATCATTACTGTTGAAGCACCTAGAGCAAGAGACTTCACAATATGACCAACACTTTGTATCCCACCATCTGCAATAATGGGGACATTGAACTGGCGTGAGTAGGATGCAACTTGATACACAGCAGTTGCTTGAGGACACCCACATGCCATTACCTCTTGAGTTATACATATAGAGCCACTACCCATCCCAACTCTCAATGCATCAGCCCCTGCATCTATAAGATTCTTTGCTTGCATCCTAGTCACAACATTGCCACCTATAACTTGAATGTCAGGGTAAGTTTTCTTTATATACTTGATCATATCAATTTGATATTTTGAGTTGCCCTGAGATGAGTCAAGAACTATCACATCCACACCATTACTGACCAGCAACTTAAGTCGCTCCTTGTCTGTTTCACGGGTACCGATTGCAGCTCCTACCAGAAGTTGCTTATTAGAATCCTTCGATGCATTAGGGTAGCTCCGTGCCTTTTTCAAATCTGTTCTTGCAATCAGTGCTACCAGTTCACCAGCGCCATTGATGATCGGCAGTTTTCCTTTCTTGCTCTTCTCAAGTATATAATTAGCATCTTGTAAAGTGACACCAGATTGTGCTGTTATCATATCATCAATCGGTGTCATAACCTCTTTCAGGCTCAGCTGTGGATCACCCTCTCTGAAATCGATATCTCTGGATGTTACAATACCAATTAGGCGGCCACCCAACTTTCCGTTTTCTGTGATGGGATATCCAGTAAAACCATTCTTCCTTTTGGCTTCGATGACGTCGGCGACCGTATTGTTAGGACCCATGCACATTGGATCTCTAATAAATCCATGTTTGTATTTCTTCACCTTATGAACTTCATTGGCCTGGTATTCAGGAGTACAGTTATGGTGTATTATACCTATACCTCCGCACAAAGCCATGGCGATTGCCATATCAGCTTCAGTTACAGTGTCCATCGGAGCCGACACTAAAGGCGATTTCAGGTTAATTTTTTTCGTGAGAGGGGAAGTTAAATCTACCTCTTCAGCAGTGAAGTCTATGTATCCGGGTAGCAACAAAAAGTCGTTATAGGTGAGGCCTTCCCTATTCTCGAAGATTTCGGCTGCCGAAAGTCCATCGCGATGATCTCCTTCCGCTCTAGCATTCATAACAAACATGTGGAGAAGCGGCCGAAAGTAATTACAAACGAAGAGCTTTGAATTGCTTTCTTATGTATGTCGTATATGCTTAAGAAACACGTACTATTAGGTCACAAGAATTATTAAAGCATTTAAAGCACATTAAAATGCACGCACACGTGGTGTATATTCAGTCTTTATTAATTGTTGTTAAAAAACATTGAACTGGTAAAAGAGGATTGATTATATTTTTATCGTAAACAGTACATATATTCTAAAAAATATATTTTAAAAAAATTACGTACGACTACATCTACGGAAAATGTTGTTCTGGTTTTATTTCACCACGTTTATGTGTTTTATTCTGTGGGGTTTATGTTTATGAATAAAACATTGAAGAATTAATAAACAAGACTAGAGATGGGACAAAATCACAGTGAACTGAAA